CGCACACACGCTCACTCACACACACACACACACACACTTACTCACATGCGCACACACGCTCACTCACACACACACACTCACACACAAGTGCACAAGCTCACTCACACACACTCTCACACGCACACACGCTCACTCACACACACACACTCACTCACATGTGCTCACACGCACACACGCTCACTCACACACACACACTCACTCACATGTGCTCACACGCACACACGCTCACTCACACACACACACTCACTCACATGTGCTCACACGCACACACGCTCACTCACACACACCTGCACACGCTCACTCTCACACGCTCACTCACACACACACCCATGAGTCCCTGGCGAGTGTCGCTGGACTGTCTCCTGGGCAGAGGCAGTGTGGAGGTGGAGTAGAGATCGGGAGCAGCAGGACAGCTGGACAGCACACGGGACAGAGGGGTGCTGTGGGCGGAGCTGAGGGTGTGGCTAACAATGGGAGGAGACTGACACCCGGACACGCCCACTGCTGGCTGGGAGTGGGCGGGGCTGGCTGAAGAGCCGGAGTGGGCGTGTCCATTACTGGAGGGGTTCTGGTGAGACTGCTGCTGCTGAGGACGACTGCTGCTGTCACCGTTCAACAGAGGCGGGACTTCCTGTACAGACAACCTCTGAGAGAGCAGACCCAAATCAACCACCATTAGGTCTACATCTAACTGAGAATTACTTCTATATCTAATTGGGGTTATTTGGGAATTCAACATTGATGTTATAAGAAATGCTTTTTCTACAGCAAGATTTTTTTATTTTTTTGGTCTTCTTTATTAATATCGATTGAAAGAACGCATGGAAAATGTGATACTAATTTTGTATTGATAACAAAATTGTGTCCTACAAAATAATACATAAGATTTATCCAGCTGAGCATGTTTTGGAAAGAATTAGGTTGAACATTTGAATTGAACTGAATTGTGTGGATTTGTTATATCATATTGTATCAGTTTTTGAGGTGCATCTCAAAAAAAATTTAATATCGTGAAAAAGTTAATATTTTGTAACTTGTAAAACTTTCATATATTCTTGATTCATTACATGTAAAGTAAAACATTTTAATTTTGATGATTAGAGCTTACAGCTCATGAAAGTCAAAAATCCAGTTTCTCAAAATATTAGACTATTTACATTTGAGTTTCATTAAATGAGCATCCCTACAGTATAAATTGCAGGTATCTCTTGTTCTTTGAAAACACAATAATGGGGAAGACTGCTGACTTGGCAATGGTCCAGAAGACGATCATTGACACCCTCCACAAAGAGAGTAAGTCACAGAAGCTCATTACTGAAAGAGCGGCTGTTCACAGAGTGCTGTATCAAAGCATATTAAATGCAAAGTTGACTGGAAGGAAGAAATTGGGAAGGAAAAGGTGCACCAGCAACAGAGATGACCGCAAGCTTGAGAATACTGTCAAGCAAAGCCGATTTAAACACTTGGGAGAGCTTCACAAGCAGTGGACTGAAGCTGGAGTCAGTGCATCAAGAGTCTCCACGCTCAGACGTCTTCAGGAGAAGAGCTACCAAGCCACTTCTGAAACGTCAGAAGCATCTCACCTGGGCTAAGGAGAGAAACAACTGGACTGTTGTTCAATGCTCCAAAGTCCTCTTTTCAGGTAAAAGTAAATTTTGCATTTCATTTGGAAATCAAAGTCTGGAGGAAGACTGGAGAGGCACAGAATCCAAGCTGCTTGAAGTCCAGTGTGAAGCTTCTGAAGTCAGTGATGATTTGGGGTGCGTGACGTCTGCTGGCGTTGCTCCATTGTGTTTTATCAAGTCTAAAGTCAATGCAGCCGTCTACCTGGAGATTTTGGAGCACTTTATGCTTCCATCTGTTGACAAGCTTTATGGAGATGATGATTTCATTTTTACAGCAGGACTTTAGCACCTGCGAAAGTGCCAAAACCACTTCCAATGATATTACTGTGCTTGATTGGCCAGCCAACATGCCTGACCTGAAGCCCATATGGAGTCTATGGGATATTTTCAAGAGAAAGATGAGAAATTGGATCCGAGCTGAAGCTCAATAGTCCTCAGCGGAGCCACAGGCGGATCGCTTCCATTCACTCCTCACTGATGCTGGAGTTTGTGCTAAACAAGCCCCGACCAAGTATTGAGTGCAGAACTATTCTGTTTTGCAGATCCTTTTTTTGATTGATATTAGAAAATAGTCTAATATTTTGAGAAACTGGATTTTTGACTTTCATGAGCTGTAAGCTCTAATCATCAAAATTAAAACCAAACAAAAAAACATTTGAAATGTCTTACTTTACATGTAATGAATCTAGAATATATGAAAGTTTCACTTTTTGAAATGTTACAAAATTTTTTTTTTAATTAATTAATTTAATTTGAATACATTTTTAGAGATGCACCTCTCTATATATAGCCCCCCCCCCTCTCTCTCTCTCTATATATATATATATAAACACACAAAGGTGTGTGTGTGTGTGTGTGTGTGTGTACTCAAGATTATTTTATTTTACTTTATTTTAATTTAGTGTATGATACAGCTGCATGTATTTGGTGTGCTTTTATATTTTTATTTTATTTTTTTATTTTACAAAGTCAACTATTATATTTCAATTTGTGTTTTGACAATTTAATAGTCCATCACAGACAAAGCAATCCTGAATCTCAGTAAAAGAGATTCATCTGAAAAGTAAATTTATTATATGACTTATACAGAGAAATATCAATATTTACACATTTCATTTATTGAAAAATAATTAATTTTCATCTTAAAATATGTATTAATAGCAACACTGTAAATTCAGATTAAATGAATTCACTATAGGTTTCAATGAATAGCGAAGAAATGTACATTTAACTCAGGAAATTATTGAATAATAACCCAAATGAATTACTAAGGATTACATTTAAAAGTAATAACACTAGTAACAACATGCCACTAGTCCTGAGTCTAATCTTTGCTTTTTCCTTCAAAATGAAAACAATATTTGGTAACACTTTATTTTAGGGTCTCTTAACTAGTTTATGCATATTACTAGAATATGAGCCATTTATTAGCACATATTAATGCCTTATTCTACATGACCATATTCTACATCCCTAATCCTACCCAATACCTAAACTTAACAACTACCTTACTAACTATTAATAAGCAGCAAATTAGGAATTTATTGAGGGAAAAGTCATAGTTAATAGTGAACAAGTGTTCCTTATTCTAATGTGTTACCCAATATTTTTTACTCCACAAACCTAAAAACATTGATGTGTCCACAAATCCATCATTAACAGACACAAAACACTTTGATATTCAACTTTGAGCACAGCCATTCATTAAATGTGTTGAGATGTTAAGAAATGTCCCTATTATTTCACTTAAAAATCAAAATGAAAAGAAGGAAATTACAGTATATTTAACATACAAAACATGAATCCTATTTTATGACCACTATGTTCACCATTCTGTCTTTTTTTTTTGCATTGTGACAATGTGAAAATGCCCAAGTATGTATGTGATGAACCTGTTCTCCGTGTTGAGTGATTCCCAGTTTAGCGTTGCGCAGGACCTCGGCGAGTCCGGCTCCTCCAGAGCTCTGGGGAGCGGTGTGACGCAGCAGGCTCAGCGCTCGCTCCGGGAGCTTGGTTGGCTGTGCACATGACTGCTGCCACGATGACAGCTTCTGAGACAACAGCTCTCTCACCTACCAAACAAAATCAGATCTTTAGACTGCTGATGGCTACATACACAGCTGACTTTAATACCTACAGAAGTGCTCTGGTTAGAGTCTCTTTATCTCACCAGTCATTCTTTTAAAGGATGTTTGTTGCTAAAAAGAACATTATTTTGTGTATTTGGTGTAATGAAATGTGTTTATGCGGTTTAAGGTTCAAAAAACACATTATTTTCCACATACTGTACATTATTGTTTCTCCTCTATGCCCCGCCTTTCTGAAACGTGTCGATTTTTACAAAGCTCATCGGTCTGAAAAGCGAGGTGTGCTCTGATTGGCCAGCTATCCAGTGCGTTGTGATTGGCCGAATACCTCAAGCGTGTGACGGAAATGTTACGCCCCTTACCATACTGTGATGAACATCGCGCTGCGTAAACATAAAACCATGTCTGCATTTGTGATCGGAGAAATGACAAACAACAGCGCTACTCTACACTGCTCAAAACTCACGTTTGAATCGTCAGTGGCAAATTCTTTAAATATAAAAAACGTACTTACAGTCTGTGAGTCATGAAGCGCAAGATTGTCCTTGCAAAGTTGGAACTGCCCCACTTTATAGAAACAGCCTTTGAGCACAGAATCATTGTAGTCTACTCTCCCAGGATCAGGAAACAGTCCTCCATAAAATGTGCTGCACACATCTGAATATTTGGGTTGAAGTGTTCTGGAACAGTGTTGTAAATACAACTTAAGCACTGATTTCTAGTCGTGTCCTCTTTTGGAAGACCAAACAAAGTAGAATGAAGCACACAGCGTCTCCACGACATGGCGGCGGCAGCAACAACAATACTACAGCGAGAATAAAAGTTACGCCTTCTTTCTTTGCGTGAACATTTGGGCGGCGTTATGCTAATATTTCCACATAGTGAGGTAGACATGTGGGGGCGTGTTAGAACGAGGCGTTTTAGGAGAGCGTGGACCAGTCTTAACTTTGATAAAGAATATCTCTTTGGGTTTGAGACTTTAGTCTTTGCAACTTTAGGGATCTTATCTATTCACGAACAGCTTGTAACACTCCAAAGAGAAAGGAAAACTTGAAATCGCATCATATCACCCCTTTAACTAATTTCAAACACTGCATATTGTTGGCACAGATGCAAAATGACATTATGCTGATTCTTGAAAGTAAAATGTCCAGTGAGTGGCGCTTCAAGCTTGTTCAGTTTTAATGCGAAAAATATAAAATCTGGCAACATTTTATTAGACCAAAAAGTCAATCTATTGTTTGAAAACACAATCCTGACCTTACACCTAACCTTTTTTTGCAACAATATTTTTGATGTGTTTAATATCATTGTAATACAGTTTTTTTTTAAATTCGCTTTGGTACTATTTTCACACGTAAGGTGTTTATTTTCAAAACTAACATCGCTATTCATTCTTTCAAAACCTGATGCCATGCTTTCAATACAATTACACATATTTTTATCCACACAATCACTGTTTCAAAACATAAGATTATTGAAATATATATTGAGAACATTTGATTTGTAGGCACACACACACACACACACACACACACACACACACACACACACACACACACACACACACTCACACACACACACACACACACACACTCACACACACACACACACACACACACACACACACTCACACACTCACCCACACACACTCACACACACACACACACACACACACACGTTGTGCTTCCATGTTTTATGGGGACTCTCCATAGGCGTAATGGTGTTTATACTGTACCCCTCACAGGAAACTTTCTGCATTTTTTGATTTTTTAAAAACTTAATTCCGTATGATTTATAAGCTTGTTTCCTCATGGGGACCTAAAAAAAATGTCCCCACAAGGTCAAAATTTACTGGTATCCTTGTGGGGACATTTGGTCCCCATAACATGATAAATACCAGGCACACACACGCGCGCACACAATAGTTATTATAACGGTTATAAAGTGATTTACAGTGAATTTATAACAGCTAGGGGCGTTGTTAGGCACAACTAACTGTCCTTATAGCTGTTATAAATTCACTGTAAACCACGGCTTCACGGGGCTTATTGCTTTAAGCAGACATGCAAATTAAAAGTTTGATAGTAAGAGCTTTATGAAAGGCAGTTACTATGAATGAAACATTTATATAGCTGAAACGTTTATTTTGTGTAGTGAAAAGGATACTTTTTGATTGTGTGTATTGCACTAAGACAATTGAAAATATTCTGAAACGTTTGAAAAAAAAGTGCACTTTTCCATGTTTTCAGTGTTATACAGTAGGAGGCGCTATTACACATTTTCTGATAGAGTACAGAATCTCTGGATCAAAACATAGCGAAGAAGAAGCCGAACTAAGCGATCGCACATGTAAACAGATGCATATGTAAAATTACGTGATAATCAAGCATTAAATAGCATATAAACTGCATAATGTTTCCAAATGAAATGACGATTTAGAAAGTGGACTCGGAAGCTTTTGGGGTATTGATGGACTCGATCTACTCCATCTGTGTTTTGATCATCGTTCTGAATCTGATCCAGACTTAGTCTCGGACAAAAACGCCATTTTCTCCTCAGCTTTTTTGTTTTTTACATTAAACTTGCCCATATTCCAGTGTTGATAAAAAAAAAAGAATGCAGGAAGCTAGAATAAAATGTTTTTTTTGTGTGTTATTTGTTTGTTTAAAAGCACACGCTCAGTTCTTTCTTTTGGCATGTTGCATGTTCAGATATTCAAACAACAAAATATTCTGGGGGCCATGACATTTATGTTAAAATGATAAAAAAATGCTGGCGGTGGCTGTGGCTGGGAAGACTGAGTGATAATATTTCAAAGCAATTTCTGTCATTTTGACAGATTGCAAATATTGTACTTTCCTGCTTTAGACACATTCCAGTAAACACTGCTAACAGGAATTAGAAGTGTAAAGGGGACATTTTAAATTGTGAAAACAAGCCTTTGTGATATTTTTGAATTCTTAGTGAATTCAAGTGAATAATTATATGGGACGTATCATGAATGAAAGAATGAATGAATGATGCATTTATATAGCGCTTTATTGTGTATTGTTGTACACCCAAAGCGCTTTACAATCATATGGGGGGTCTCTCCTCAACCACCACCAGTGTGCAGCATCCACTTGGATGATGCGACGGCAGCCACAGGACAACGGCGCCAGTGCGCTCACCACACACCAGCTACAGATGGAGAGGAGAGAAAGTCAGAGCCAATCAAGTGGTTGGGGATTATTAGGAGGCCATGATTGACAAAGGCCAGGGGGGCAATTTGGCCAGGACACCGGGGTTACACCCCTACTCTTTACGAGAAGTGCCATGGGATTTTTAATGACCACAGAGAGTCAGGACCTCAGTTTAATATCACATCTGAAAGACGGATTCCATTCATAAATACAAAGCGGAAGCAGACCACAAATGCGCAGTATATGTTTATGTCTCTTTTTTCACATTGTTGCATAGAAATACAAAGGAAAAATTTAAATAATCAGGAGGAAAGATGCTGAGAACACTGAGAAGAGCTCTTGCTACAGATATAATACCAATGTTATTCATTGATATGTTACATGTTATCAAACCGACAGATAATTATTTTTCTGTTGCACAACTTGATTTGAAGTGTCTACTGTCTTTTAAATTCCATGATTTAAAAGACAGTAGACTCAGTAGGAAAATGGCGTACAGTGTTAACGCAAATGTGAGATAAAATCCATCTGCTATCCATCAAGTATTTGAGCTCTTTTATAGTGACTTGTGTTTCACGGGACTTGTCCCCGAGTGCTTTACATGCTGTACCAGGTGCGCTACCGAGCACGTTTACATACATATTTCAGCTGGAAACCACAGTGAATTGTACATATAGGTACTTTTTTAAAATTGTATTTAGTTTTGCTAGAAGGCACATTTTCCAGTGAGGCTGTTGTGTCTGCTAGTCCTTTACAGCATGAGTTAGCTGGCTGAAGCTCACATCTGTAGTGTTACCTTGCAGTGGTAGTTGGTGAGGATCTTGGTGACTGAACACTGACGGTCCACCAGAAAGCAATAGCGCCGCCTTTCTTCTGTCAGAGCGGAGCGGTAACCAACGGCAACCAGAGAGTCCAGCTCGCCCTGCCGGCGACTCATCAGCTCCACATACTGTTACAGTGAGAGAATTTACATTAAATAAGCATGTGACTCTTTTAGGAAGGGGCTCCCAAACTTTTTGTCTGCCAAAACCATTAGGCATTAAATATTTACTTGAAGTACCCCCTGAGATTCTCTAAAGTTGATCACATGACATGCAAGTAAAAAGATAAAATATAATATATTTATTAATGTGATTGTTTTTAGTAAGTGTTTTATTTTGACTTTGCAGCTGGACATTAAAGTAGACTCAAACCTCTTTTTTTGTTGTTGTGTGTCAGTCTACATTACATTCACACTGGTGTTTTAGGAGCCTAATCAAATTAAATAATAATAATAATATTGATAAAAATTAATAATATTAATAATTATCATCATCATCGTTATTATTATAATAGTTGTTGTTGTTAGGTTTTAACTAATTCTAAAAACGAAGACCAATATTATAGTTTTAAACGACAATAATTGATAATAATACGTTGTATCATTATTATTTACAAGTTACAATACTGATATTCATGTCTAAAAATGTGTACTTCCAGATGTTCAAATGCACATACTTTTCATAATTTAAATCCTCGAGCTTTCATTTTGGCAAAACACTACTGAAACGCTGTACAACATAAATGCTGGAAATTATGCAAATATGTAAATAAAGCAAACCTAGTGCACATTGCATCTTCAAATGCGCATTAAACTCACAGCACATGCATGAATGTAGTTCAGTGCATTTACAGCGAACCAAGAAGCAGAAAACACTGAATCATGAGCTGCTCGTGTGTAAATGAACACAGTGCTGCGCTTCGTTCGCATTTAATGAAATCGCAGGCTTTGATTTGATAATTACACTAAGCTATATTGTGATTATCGTGCAGCCACATTCATTTATTTTGATGTTACATTCAATATAGTTAATTAAACTCATGAACCCTGCCTTAAAGTACCAGGTCACCCACAAATGGCCATAAACTGACCTTTTCACTGAATATCTCAACATCTTTCAGACTGCGATCCTGTTTTACTTCATGATTTTCCTCGCTCTCATTTAGTTGTTTTTCACTACATCAGTGTTACTTTATTCTGGGCCCAAATCAGCTGCTTCCGGATATCTGCTTAATCTCAAACTAAACGACTCGTTCTTTCTCTTTCTGACCTGAAACATGTTTAGACTAATGCTCGAGATAGCACAGCTCAGGCCTACATAAACAGAGATAGACTCGCTCCTGAGCAAACACGTGCTCAAATAAACACACACTTGTTCACACATGGAGGAAAAGTCTTCCGCTCTCAAATCAGCTTTAATATGAAGGACACTGGGTCGCACAGACGGCCATTATGAGTCATACAAACTACAAATGACTGGCAGTACATGACATTCTAGTAATGAACACAGCAGCAAGCAACACAATTACTCAGTTCTTCAGCAGGCGCTTTAATCCGAAGTGACTTACTGTTCATTTACTGGCATGCCAATCAGCGTGGCTTTGCTTGGAGGTGATTGTGACCAGGCCACATTGGGATGCAGTTAACTCTAAGGTTATTGAGTCACATTACAAAATGTTTTTACTATAAAAAAAAGAAAGAAAAGAAAAACGTTGGTGCCAAATTCAAATACCACTATTTATATAACATTTATTTTAATGTGTATGCTTGTATTCAAGGTGTAAATAAAATGTATTATTACTTTTCATTCAATGAAGTCGTTTAATCAAAACATTTGTTGAAGATGGTATAAAAGTTCACAGAATACAGGGATTACATTTGAAAGAACATTTCTTGGTGTATGTCTTTTAACCTTTATTTTTAACCTATTTTTAAGTCTGACATATGAAATAATAGTTGTTTTTTTAATTAAATGATTTATAACTTGAGACAAAATCAAAAAAAAAAATCATGCGTTTGTATCATATTTGATACATCAGACTCAATCTGAGCACAAATATGCAATTTGGGGCAGATGCTGATATTAATGTTTGATAGCTTGTAGATCAATGAGATCTTTATAACAGATACGTACATGAAATTATTTAAATATGAGTTATTCTGTATCTCCAATAATATGTCTCAGTAAGATGAGATTGAAATGATCAAAACATATAATGCATTGCAATCCAGTGCTGATTGAGAGCCCTTACAGAAAAGTCACATGAATTTCACACATTTTTCACATGTGATCCTATGGGTTTCACATTTATATGAGTGTCACATGTGATCCCATGGGTTTCACATGAGATTTTACATGGGATTCACACAAAAATGTTCCAAAAACACACATTTCCCATGTGCATTTCACATGTGTTTTTAACATGTTCTTATGTTTCACATGTGACTTTAACATGTGTCACATGTGATTTTGCACATGTGAAATTCATGTGGTTTTTCTGTAAGGGAGCTGAAGAAATAAAGGCTCCTCCTCAGATGTGAGATGTTCTGGAGGCTTGTGAAGATCATTCCTCCGCTGAGGAACAGTGAAAGTAAAGCTTCTGGAAACAAACGCTCCTCAAAACATCCTGAGGATCAGATTTGAGACTCTAAAACATGATTGATGGAGAATCAAGTAAAGCTGAGCTGCTTCAGTCCAGTAAGTGTTCATCTGGAAATATTACTGACGTTATTCTGACGTTTACTTGATTCAAATTAGTAAAGATTTGACAGCAAACAGACACGTGAAGCTCGAGCTGAAGCTGGACATCTGTACAATTACACTAAAAGAGCTTTTACTGGATAAAAACACTCTAAACTGTCAATCAGACGACAGAAGGCATGGAGTAGATTGTGTGTGACAGCAAAGTTGATCATGCGTGTACCTGCATCTCTCTGTCTCCATATTTGTTGGGATGGCGACTAGCTTGGCTCTTCCTCCGCAGCTTCTTCAGCTGTGATTGGCAGCGCTCAATGGACTCCACCTTTGACTTCCGCTCACTCTGGTACTTCTTCAGCGTCGCCTGCACAAAGGTTTTCATTCAGTATATCAAGTCCTGGTCCCTTTCAGAGAGTCCAGGAGGAGTAGTTCATTCCCATATTAATCTTTTCTGATTCATTTACTCAAAGTGTTTACAAGACAAACTCTGTGTTTACTTGTTTGAGCTCCCCTATTTAGTGAATTCAGTAGGTTGTTTAGTTAGGCAGTGATGTCCACTCACGGTCAGATATTTGATGTCTAGCTCCAGTTTCTGCTCGAGTTGAGACAGCAGCTCTGAATGAAACAGCTTTAGCTGCAGACAGACAGAAAACACAGCAAATACAGTGAGTACGGAAGATATCTACAGCACATTTCTATTGGCACTTTAACATTTCCTCTTATTTCTTGATTTGTTGCGTACGACTAGCATTTCTGGTGGCACACTGGTGTTTTGTCTCAGAAGATGACTTCTTTGAAGCACCTGCTAAAGGAATTATTACATATAATACTGTACATTATAGTTTTTCTCACTATAGGTAACATTTTCAAAACTCTTCATACGGTGAAGCTCAACAGCGTCTATGTGGGCTACACTCAATGAAAACATCTTTCAAATGACATGAATCTTTTCTCACTCAGACACAGACAATGCCAAAATTATATGTACCTACAGGCCAATTTGCACATTTTACACTTTTCAAAACGGTTACAGTAAACTTAAGTTCAAACAGTAATACCACACTTCTACAGTAATACCATGTCAAAATATATTCTAAATAAATATTAAAAAAATTAACAGACTAATTTTGAATTGTAATGTAAACATGGACCATGTAATATTATGGCAGTGAGCCGTCTTTTTTTTTTGGTGTAAAGAAATTTTACAAAAGAAAACATCTTTTTTACAATTGCTATGCATTCAACAATGCAATGACATTTACTCACCACATCCTCGAGTTGGACCTGGATCTGCCGATGAACCTCTGCCATCTGGAACAACGTATCACCTGAATCAATATGAATTATGAGAAGACGTGCCAAACACATTCCACACAAACCATGAGAACTGCATCACAATTCACAGATGTGTAACCAAACATACTTTCATACACGACCCGATAATGACATCTCACTCACATAAAGGTCACGATAGGGTCACATTAAAGTGTGATCTATAATGCAACAATTGCATGGTCATTTTTTTAAAATGCATGTTCATGCACTTGCATAAACTGCAGACTGTGATGTACAGTATGTGCATTTATTTGTCTAAACAAAATCGAAAAGAGTAATTTCTTCCTTCAGAGGATGTGATATGCGTGGCATTGTCTGTCCATTCTTGTGTTTCATTGAGGGTGAATTTGTGGTGTTTTGTTGTGGGTTCCAGTGGGCCGAGCCGTGGATGTTGGCCTTCTTTATCCCCTACTGAGCAACAGTGTGTGTGCGTTTTGGCATCTCTCCCTCCCTCTCGTCCACCCCCGCTGTTTTCAGCAGCACAATGAGATCATGTGGTGTTGTTAATCTTTCAACAAAGGCCTCTCTCTCTTTTGCCCCTCTCTCGCTTTCTCTTACTTCCTTCATCTCCATTTTATCGTACAGGCTTTGCCTCTTCATTCTCTTCTGCTGTAGTCACTTGTTTTTATGCTTTCGTTTCCTGTGAACACTGATGTACTATGAACTTGAACAATGTAGTTATATTTACTTACATTTTCACAATCAGTTCTCACCATTAACTTTACTCTGCCGGAAGTGTCGCTTCAGAAACAAATTTGAATAGGTTAAGTTAACTAAAACTAAAATTAAATCCATACATTTAAAAAAAAAAAAGTATATAATCTAAGTGAAATAAATGAAAATGAGAAATGTCACTTTGGCTACTAGCTGAAATAAATATAAATATACATATATTTTTCATTTAGTTTAAACTATGATGTAGCCTACTTAATTAACTAAAAATAAAACAGAAAAAGACTTATAAAAAGGACATAAAACTAAAATAAAACCACAAAAACTATATACTTAAACCTAAATAAAAATGACAAAAACACACAACAATATTACAAAAACGTTAACTAAAATTAAAACGAAAATGGAAAATCTAAATAAAATAAAAAATAAAAATGTTCCAAAACAGCACTGGGTCTAAATCATGGGAACTGATAGTTGTAATTTAAAACCACTCTCTCTCTCTCTCTTTGACTTGATATATATATTTAAAAAATGATTGATGTTTTCTGGTGATTAAAGAGATGTTGAAACGTCAAAAAGTCTCTCTCTCTCTCTCTCTCTCTCTATTTATATACAGTTAGGTCCATATATATTTGGACACTTACACAATTGTCATAATGTTGGCTCTGTATGCCACCAGAATAGAAAAAAAATAAAACATTTAAGATGAAATTGAAGTGCAGACTTTAAGCATTAATTCAAGGGGTTGAACAAAAATACAACATAAAAAGCTTAAGAATTACAACCATTTTTATACACAACCCCCCCCCCCCCCCCCCCCCCCAACACAAACGATAGTGGCAGCAGTGACAGCCTCCCCCGGGTCCTAATGCCCGCTTATATTTGCTATGACAATCTGGCGCTTCTGAACCAGAGACTGTAAGTATGTTTTGTTATTAGTTGAAGTATTTGCTATTGACTGTTCAAATGCGGAGTTTTGCGCAGCGCAGAGTAACGCGTCGTGTGTGTGTGTGTGTGTGTGAGTGTGTGTGTGTGTGTGAGTCTGTGTGTGCGTGTGAGAGTGTGTGTGTGTGTGTGTGTGTGTGTGTGTGTGAGGGGAACAGGGTCACATCACAGAAGAGTGAACTGTCTGTCAGAAAGCATAGCACGTCAGCTGTCTTAACCGCGGCTTGTGTACTGCATCATCACTGAGTCTGTCACGCGACTCTGTTGCCCTTTCTGGGCTTGAACTGATGGTAAAACTAACGACATTATTAACTGTCTTGATATTTACTTTGAAAGCTTGAAGCTGGCGATTATGGTAAGGGGCGTTACATTTCTGACACGTGCTTGTGGTGTTCGGCCAATCACAATGCACTGGGTCAGCTGGCCAATCAGAGCAGACTGCGCTTGTCGGAAGGAGGGGCTTTGTAGAAAACGAAGC